ATATATAATAGTGCACCTTGTTTTGACAGATATCTTGCAATTTCTGTATTTGCTTTGTTTTTCCAGCTCATCAGACACAGACTCATCTTTTAGTGTTGCTATTGGCTGCATACAGGACATAATCATGGGTAAAAATTAGGGTTTTATTCACAATATTTTTCTTTATGTTAACTTTAATTTAGCCAAAGGCTCGCTGGGATCTAAGGTTTCTTTCACAAGAGCTTTAAAAAGAAAAATAACTGGATCTCAGATTCTGGAATAAATAAACAATAACAACATTTTCTATCCTTCTATTACTTTTTTTTTTTAGGCGAGGACTTCCAGCATCTTCAGCAGAGTTTCATGATGAAACACTACCTGGAGTTTGATGACTCTGATGAGAACAAACTCAGCTACACACCCATCTTCAACGAATACGTGGGTGGTGTTTAAGTTTAACGTGAAATACGTGAATTTTGTTTTTAACGATTAGAAAGCTAAACCGTTGGCTTGTGGCTGTGGGAACAGGTGGACCTGTTGGAGAAACACCTGGAGCAGCAGCTGACCGAGAGAATCCCCGGCTTCAACATGAACGCCTTCATCGAGCTCGTTGTGTAGGCGCCGACACATCCTGGTCCTGGAGGGGCTCTGTCCTGCATGTTTTAGTTTCTTATTTTTTTAAATGTTGCTGATATAAGGAGTTTGATTCAAACATTGAACAGGAGGTGGCACACACAAATAAAATAAAATAAAACCAGACTCTTGTCCTTCTGCAGGCTCAACAAAGAAGAAGTCCCAGATGAGATCTACGACATGTTGTTAACGTTCACAGACTTCGTGGCCTTCAAGGAGATGTTTCTAGAATACAGAGCTGTAAGTAGTTTCAGCTGGAGAATGTCTTCAAATCAAGGATTTTGTCTTCCTCTCTTTTATTTGCTCTTCATCCTGTGGTAAGACTCATGAATCTTGGTAGACTGACACAGGTAGTTAATAAAAAAAAAGAAAGTAAGAGAGAAAGAAAACATAAATACCYGCAGAACAACATTAAAGATCAATTTAAGGACTCAGCTGAGAAATTTCATCTTATCTGAAACTAAAACAAAACTGTCCYAGCTGAATCTAAGACAGARCCTCCACAAAAACCTCTAAACTTCTGCTCATATAATAATGAATCAGCCCTACAACATACTGTATACTGTATGTCTCTTCCCTGGAGGTGATAACTTTTACATCAGACGTTAACCGACTTTTGTTCATGCAGACAGAAAGAACATCTGCARCACACACCAACTCTCATTCTCTGTTTTAAACTTTGCGGCTGCAATGATCAGAAAGTATAAAAATACAAAACTGCATTCAGTTGATCAGTTACAAAATTTCCTTCAACAGGATTCTCATCGCTCCAGGTTTTGTGATTTTTTTTTTACATTGGTGTGACCTGATAGGAGTGATTCCTCACTTAAAAAATAATAAAAAGACAAATTTTGATGGTTTTGCAACAGGAGTTGATTCAGGATCGATAACAAAWTATAACATCAATGTCGATCATTTTATTTTTCACAGAAGTTTTGTTTCTTTTGTTTTCAAACCTTTGACAGAGGTATAATCAATAATTTTTCACTAAAACCTATTTTTGCTTTGGCTTGTGGAGGAACAAATACTCCAAGAAAAAAAAAAACAAAAYGTATGAAACTTTGKATTTGTGTTTAAAAGTATTTTGTGTTCWGTGAGGCTGAATTCATCTGTTTCCAGGAAAAGGAAGGCAGAGGACTGGATCTGAGTTCAGCCATCGTGGTGACGCCTCTGGCATTTGTCCGTGATGGAGTCATGGACTCAGAGTGAAGATCTTCATGATCCTTGAGTCGACTTCAGGAGATAAACACAGAAATCTGCACCAACGAATCAGAACGGCTCAGTTTGTTGAAGTTTAGGGATGCGATGGTCTTTATTTTACCTTTAAATCTCCTCTCATGTGTTTGAAGACTTATTTGAACTGCCTGTTTGGAGCAGCAGAGGAACATTTAGTTCTGTAGAGTCGTTAAACGATTCTGTCAGGAATCATTTAGCAGAACTGTTTATTATTTACGGTCAGTTTGATGAGTAAAATCTGTGAAAGTGATTTTTAATGTTTGTGTGTGTGTGCGTGAAATAAGTTTCATTAGTGTCAACATGATTTTTATTCATAGTTTTTATTTTAACGGTTTGTTTACTGGTGAAACACTGTTTTAGTCACGTTTGTTTGTAAAATATTTAGAAATAAAACAGAAAAAAATCATTTATGTTCTTTATTGGAAAAACTCAAAGCTAATCTGATATGAAT